GCAAAAATGTATCTTGTTTTTATAAATGAATTGTTGAACAACATTGACAAATGTGGGAAGGGTACAGTAATAGCAGATCTGCGAGTTAACATTCCCACACAAGCAGATAATATATGTGTAATTAGTACTAAATATTCTGATCTGCAATACATGCTTTCTATATGTGAAGAGTACAGTAAGAAATGGAGATTTACATTTTCTTCTGCTAAAAGTAAAATTGTAACTTTTTCCTGTAAAAGAAGAAATATTGAATGTACGACTCTGTATTTATATAATTGTATTCTTCCGAATGTTGATGATATCGTCCATGTTGGTGTAATGCTGAACAATAAATTTAATTCAATAGAGCGTACCTTACGTGCATGTAACAAGTTACGAAGCGGAACCATGAGCATCATTCGATGTGGAGCCCATCCAAGTGCTTTCAATCCACTAACTATAAGTAGAATTATAAAATGTAAAGTGTATGCTGCAGCCTTATATGGTTGTGAATTATGGTGTTTATCCAGGATAGAAATATTAATGCTTGAAAGAGCACAACATTTCATCTTGAAAGCAATACAAGGTTATGAGACTAAAACCCGTACAGATATGTGTACAAGTCTACTTGGATGGACTAGTATATAGAATCCTATATAGACACTAAGACATTGTTGTTCCTAGGTAGATTATGTAGATTAGATAAGACGAATTTGTCGTCTCGTGTATTCTTTACAAAATATTTTCTCGTTGATATAGAATCTAAATTAAGTTCAAATAGACAAAGGTTCGCAGTTGATATACTAAGAATACTGCCAAAGTATAAATGGTTTGAAGTGTTTAATGATTTTATAACTAACTGTGCTTTTCCGTCTAAATGTATGTGGCGTGTTAAAGTAAAGAATGCCGTATACTCGGTAGAGGAATTAGCGTGGCGAGAAAGAATGGCCAATGATGGCGATTATAACAGATTTTCTCTTATCCACGGTCATTTAGTACCACATGTATTATGGAGACTGGCATTTAAATTCTCAGCCCAAAGAGAAGCTGTACAATTACAATATGTCATGAAATTAATTGTAACTATCAGAGAGTGTGAGGGTCAAGAATTATGTCATAAATGTGGCTTTATGTACAGTGATATAGCCACCCATATAGTTCTACAATGTGTTCATACAGGAGAGTTAAGAGATAATCTATGGTGTGATATTATAAATATAAAAGACATAATGTTTAGTGTGTACTTACATTCTATGTCTGATTATGATATGGTTCATATCCTCATTGGAGGAAATGTAGAGCATGAGTTGAATTCATCGGAGTTAGATGACTTTCGCATAAAATCTGTAACTTGTATATTCAGAATGTGCAAACTTTACTACAAATGATGTCTTACCCTAAACTTTATAATGTGTCAATTGTAACATTTTTCCTTTTTCTGTATTTCGTATGATGGTCCTCTTAAGTAACTTAAGATAAGTTAAGTTAAGGAGCGTAGTGACTCAAAGGGGAGTTAACTCCAGCGTAACCCTTACTTTACAATACAATTTACCTTTCGAATTTCCGTTTGTATATTGTTATATAACATGTACCTTACTTTGTCAATCTTCAATGAATGCGTATATGTATTGTTCTATTTTGTAAATCTTCGATTCGGAGGAAATAAAGAGAATAATATACACGTAACAACGTGCCTCTATGTAATGTGCTCAGGTTGTGACGGAGGCCGTATTTTGGTGATATTGCCTCCTTGTGATGGCGCGGATATGATGCAAACTTATCTCCAATGGATACCCAAAGTTTTTGTTTATTTGTTAAATCTACGTTATAGTAAAGATAGCACCGAATCGTGTGCTCTTAAACATATTTAGTTCTACGCCTCATCCGTCTTCCCGTGAGAATGGTCACGCGTTAGAAAAAGAGTAGGCGATATGTGTAAACTGGTAGATAAGTTGGCGACGCAATTAACTTGAGGTTTCCGACGATGGACTACTTGACCTGCTGCAGTTCTAGTGTAACGATAGACTGAGTAGAGGGCGGGGGTTTATGTCAGGATCACCATAAAATAATGCTGTATTTTAAGGATTGTTACTCTCATAAATGATATATTTCCTTTTTAGCCCACCATCATCTGATGGTGGGCTATTCAAATCACCCTGCGTCCGTGGTCCGTCGTCCGTCGTCCGTCCTTAAACATTTCTTGTTGTCGGTATTTCTCAAGAAGTACCAGAGGGATCTTTCTCAAATTGTGTATGTAGGTTCCCCTTGGTACTTAGCTGTGCAGGGCAACTTTTGAGACTGATCGGATAACAACATAGCCGACAGGCAGCCATCTTGGATTTTGATAGTGAAAGTTTGTTATCGCTATTTCTCGGGAAGTACGGGTGGGATCTTTCTCAAATTTTATATGTAGGTTCCCCTTGTTCCCTTGTTGTGCAGCAGTGCCTGACAATGGCGATTAAAGTCTCGCTCGGGCGACCAAATGTTGTCAAAAGTGAAGTAGTCACTGGCCCAACAAAAATAGTTTAGGCTGTTGAAAAAATTATGAAGAAAAGAAAGTATAGTCCCTTCCAAATTAACTGGGGGGCAGTACAATTTTCAGATGTCATTACTTCGATTTGAATCTAACTGTCCGTGATTTAGAAAGTGTGATGATTTTTTTTTTTCAGAATTTCTATATAAATACTGCCAGAGTGTCTTCTTTGAGGTGCGAGTTTTGTGTATTTCTTTTAGGGAAGACCTGAATGGAGTGGATCATGTTAGGTTTTAACTAGGGTTGAAGAATTAAAAATATGATGTTTTATTCTGTTTTACATATAACAAACATTGTCATGTTAAATGTAATTTAAATGTGCTTGAACATTGTGTTAAATGCTGTGGAAAAATGTCTTGCCAAAATTATTTGGGCCACCAATATGTCATTTGGGCCAGTACTAGTGCTTCAAATTCTTTACTCGCCCCAAAATTTGTTTTTGGGCCAGCCAATGCAGGTTCCCAATTATCCTTTATTATTCATGTTTACTTTTGAAACTGATCAGTTAAACAAAATTGCCTACCGACAGCCATCTTCGATTTTTGACATTGAAGGTTTGTTAGTACTATTTCTCAGGAATAATCTTCTCAAATTTGATATGTAGGTTGCCTTTGATCCCTCGTTTTCCATGTTATATTTTGAGACTGATCATAAACACAAAATGGCTAAAGGAAGAACTAAACAGATCTTTCTCATATTGCAATGATCAATTATATTTCTTGCACATTAAGTAACTGTACTAGTAAATATGTGAAATGACAAACTCACTTTGAAGGTTGGCTTTCATACACATCAGTATTAAGTGTAGATCAAAAGTTACCTCAAGGTGCATTTACTGTGAACATGACTCGATCAGACAGATAAGAGGAAAGAAGAGAAAAGATCGAACTGACAAAGAACTAATGAAGATGGTACAATGGTGGGCGCCAAGATCCCTCTGGGATCTCTTGTTTACAAAAGTAGTCCATATACATCATACATTGTGATACAGTTTACAGAATTATAAATGTTTGAAAACACATATAAAAATGAACAAGAAACAAAGCATGCAGGATTCGAACTCGGAACCTATACACTACCATTCCGACATAATGAATGACTATACTACAATTATGATAGTCTCGTTCAACCAGACTCTTGTTGCCTGCGCAAGCGTCTGGTTGACCGAGACTACTATTACGAATGCCCTGTCAAGGGGAGTAGCTCTTAGCCAGAAAAGTTCAATTTTGTTGCTTCATCTTGATATATAACCAACTATGAAATGGAAATGTTCTTCACGGTTATAACTTGTGAGGTGGTTTTGTTTGTATTGATGTTAACGTTCTTGCTAACAGCTTAGGTTATATGAATACGGCTGTGCAGTGAATACCCATAACCTGAAAGAAGAATTAAGTGTCCCTGCCAATGTTACTTAACTGACGTGATCCGGAGGGAATAAAGCTACTGTTGTGATAGGGACAACGTTCAAACGAGGGGGTAAAACGACGAGAAAAAAGCATAATACAGTTGTGGGATCGCACAACGTTACACGATGTGCGGTGTGCTCACGATGTGTGCACGGTGTGTAAACGGTGTGTGCACGATGGGCGAACGATAAAAAGCTGGACGATCATTGCTTGCGCACATCGGTGCGCACGATGGACGGACGCTGTGCGATAACAATCGTGGTTGGTGTAAATTGAGGAATGCCTTAACAATTTATACGGTTTTGTGTTTAAACATATACCCTTGATGTTAACGTATGTTTCTATATTCTAGCAACATCTATAAACTTATATAATTATCTTTCTGTCTATATATTCTTATATTTAGAAATTGTGTTTTCTGTGTTTTTAAACAAACATAATCGTCACATGTAAAATTACAACCCAATCCCGTATACAGGTAAACATAACCACTTTGTACATGTATCTGGCCCGTAGTTTTCTCCCCGCCTGGGGCACTTACGTAACTCGTCGGGTAAGGCCGGGGGGGTGAAAATCCAGGTGAAGGGGAGCCATAGGCAAACGAATGCAAATAACAAATACTATTCATTATGGTCAAACGGTATCGCATATCAGCTCTGTGTGTCAGGCACTGGTCAGAAAAAACTCCGGACACTCATAAAATTGTTATTTACCTGTTCTGTTACCTTGGAGCCAAACCCATTCTTGACAGCCTTACGGTCGCTGTAATACTGTGTAACACGCATTGTGAAATTGTGTAATCTTGATTATTGTGATGAGAAATTACAGATATATACACAGTGTACATTATCGCATATAAGCCTTCCGTATTTTTGTCATTCCGTAATTTTGATCTACAAATGATACCAAATCGCACAGTTGTGCGGAGAGAATCGCACAACGGGGCGAACGATTGCTAAATCGCACAGTTGTGCGCACCATGTGTGGACGATGTGCGGACGGTGTGTGAACGATGTATGCACGGTGTGCGCACGCTATTTTTGGTGCGTTGTGCGGTCCCACAACTGTACCATTAAGTTGTGTTTAATTTAAAATGCATTAACGGACATTTTCTGATACAAAAATACAAACTACATGTATAATGAGCGACTAGAAACATTTTCTATGAATGATACCGGCTCCCGCCTCGTTATATTCCTGCCGACTGATCCACATCTGTTCAAAGGTCGACAACGAGGCAAGGATCGATCCTCCAATCCAAACAGAGTACTTCCGCTCAGGTGGAGCAACGACCTTCACCTTGATGAGTTCCGGGGCCAAGGACGCGACCTCTTTACTCATACGTTCTGCTACTCCTGGGAACATAGTTGAACCTCCGGATAATACGATGTTGGAATAGAGATCTTTTCTGATGTCAACGTCGCATTTAAGAATTGAGTTGTATGTGGATTCGTGCATGCCCGCCATTTCAATACCGATAAAGGAAGGTTGGAACATCGCTTCCGGACACCTGAATCTCTCGTTACCAATGCTGATCACCTGACCATCGGGTAGTTCGTATGTCCTTTCCATGTCTTTAGAAGTGGCAGACAGCACCATATCATCGTCAAAATCTTGTGCAATGTAGCATAGTTTCTCTTTGATATCCCTGACAATCTCTCTTTCGGCTGTTGTTGTGAAGGAGTAACCCCGTTCCGTCATGATTTTCATCAGGTAGTCGGTGAGATCCCTGCCTGCCAGATCGATCCTCAAGATGGCATGAGGCAAGGCGTACCCTTCGTAGATCGGCACGGTGTGCGTGACGCCATCCCCCGAGTCTAACACTATCCCTGTGGTGCGACCTGAGGAATACAGGGACAACACGGCCTGGATAGCTACGTAAAACGCCGGTGTGTTGAACGTCTCGAACATAATCTGCGTCATCTTCTCCCGGTTCGCCTTCGGATTCAACGGCGCCTCCGTCATGAGTATGGGGTGTTCATCTGGGGCGACACGGAGTTCGTTGTAGAATGTGTGGTGCCAGACTTTCTCCATGTCGTCCCAGTTTGTGACGATGCCGTGCTCGATTGGGTATTTGAGGGTGAGTATGCCTCTCTTACTTTGAGCCTCGTCTCCGACGTAGGAATCCTTCTGTCCCATCCCAATCATGACCCCCTGCAACACAAACAGACCCGGGTTACAGCTCGCAACAATACAAAAAGGTTCTCATTGTAACCGTTACAAAACTGACCCTGTAGATTCAAATGTTCACATGAAAGAATTTGTAATGCCATAACATACACCTTCAAGATGTAAATTTTAAGTTAGAGCAAAATCAGACATAGAGACGAAGACATTTGGCATCACCTTGTCAACCAATCACAGGCCACGGTTGTCCTGTTTAAAAATGAAAAACGGTACGTACATCTATATATACCCAACAATGCTAATGTGAAGTGTTTTTAGTGACGGGACAGTATTCTCTGAGGAAATAAAACAGAATAAAAGAAACCCATTTAGAGCGTTTGGGGAAATTTGAAAGGTATATACGTTATTCCTAGCTTCATTTAGTCATTAATTAGAAATACAACCAAGATACATTTGGAGGTGATGTAAAATATCTAATAATTGCCTGCCTCTTCATATTAATGTTTCGCGAGACCCTCCCCATTGTTGTCCCTCCCCATTGTTGTCACTCCCCATTGTTGTCCCTCCCTATTGTTGTACCCTCCTTATTGATATCCCTCCACATTGTTGTTCCTCTCAATTGCTGTCCCCGCCCCATTTTTGTCCCCCTCTTTATTGCTGCCCCCGCCCCATTGCTGTTCCTCTCCATTGTTGTTCCCCCCCCATTAATGCCCCACCATTGTTGTCCCCTCCCCATTGTTGTCCCCTCCCATTGTTATCCCCTACCCATTGTTGTCCTCTCCCCATTGTTGTTGCCTCCCCATTGTTGCCCCCCCCATTGTTGTCCCTCCCCATTGTTGTCCCCTCCCCATTGTTGTCCACTCCCTAATGTTGCCCCTCCCCATTGTTATCCCCTCCCCGTTGATGTCCTCCCCATTGTGATTGGTATACATTGCTAACGACTGTCCGTATAACGACTGTTTACGCCGGTATACATTAATAACGACTGTCCGTATAACGACTGTCCGTATAAAAACTGTTTACGCTGGTATACATTGCTAACGACTGTCCGTATAACGACTGTCCGTATAACGACTAATTACGCCGGTATACATTACTAACGACTGTCCGTATAGACGGTCCGTACGCTGGTATACATTGCTAGCCACTGTCCGTATAACGACTGTTTACGCTGGTATACATTACTAACGACGGTCCGTATAACGACTGTTTACGCCGGTATACATTGCTAACGACTGTCCGTATAACGACAGTTTACGCTGGTATACATTGCTAACCACTGTCCGTATAACGACTGTTTACGCTGGGATACATTACTAACGACGGTCCGTATAACGACTGTTTGCGCTGGTATACATTGCTAACGACTGTCCGTATAACGACAGTTTACGCTGGTATACATTGCTAACCACTGTCCGTATAACGACTGTTTACGCTGGCATACATTACTAACGACTGTCCGTATAACGCCTGTTAACGCTGGTATACATTACTAACGACTGTCGGTATAACAACTGTTTACGCTGGTATACATTACTAACGCCTGTCCGTATAACGACTGTTAACGCTGGTATACATTGCTAGCCACTGTCTGTATAACGACTGTTTACGCTGGTATACATAACTAACGACGATCCGTATAACGACTGTTTACGCTGGTATACATTACTAACGCCTGTCCGTATAACGACTGTTAACGCTGGTATACATTACTAACGACTGTCCGTATAACGACTGTTTAGTCTGGTATACATTACTAACGACTGTCCGTATAACAACTGTTTACGCCGGTATACATTACTAACGACTGTCCGTATAACAATCCATATAACGACTGTTAACGCTGGTATACATTACTAACGACTGTCCATATAACGACTGTTAACGCTGGTATACATTACTAACGACTGTCCGTATAACAATCCATATAACGACTGTTAACGCTGGTATACATTACTAACGACTGTCCGTATAATGAATGTTTACGCCGGTATACATTACTAACGACTGTCCGTATAATGAATGTTTACGCCGGTATACATTACTAACGACTGTCCGTATAACGACTGTCCGTATAACAACTGTTTACGCTGGTATACATTGCTAACGACTGTCCGTATAACGACTGTTTACACTTGTATACATTACTAACGACTGTCCATATCACGACTGTTTACGCTGGTATACATTGCCAACGACTGTCCGTATAACGACTGTTTCCGCTGGTATACATTGCTAACGACTGTCCGAATAACGATTGTTTACGCTGGTATACATTACTAACGACTGTACGTATAACGACTGTCCGTATAACGACTGTCCGTATGACGACTGTTTACGCAGGTATACATTACTAACGACTGTCCGTATAACAACTTTTTACGCTGGTATACATTGCTAACGACTGTCTGTATAACGACTGTTTACGCCGGTATACATTGCTAACGACTGTCCGTATAACGATTGTTTACGCTGGTATACATTACTAACGACTGTCCGTATAACAACTTTTTACGCTGGTATACATTGCTAACGACTGTCCGAATAACGATTGTTTACGCTGGTATACATTACTAACGACTGTACGTATAACGACTGTTTACGCTGGTATACATCGCTAACGACTGTCCGTATAACGCCTGTTTACGCTGGTATACATTACTAACGACTGTCCTTATAACGACTGTTTACGCTGGTATACATTTCTAACGACTGTCCGTATAACGACTGTTTATGCTGGTATACATTACTAGCGACTGTTCGTATAGCGACTGTTTGCGCTGGTATACATTGCTAACGACTGTCCGTATAACGATTGTTTACGCAGGTTTACATTACTAACGACTGTCCGTATAACGATTGTTTACGCAGGTTTACATTACTAACGACTGTCCGTATAACGAATGTTTACGCAGGTATACATTACTAACGACTGTCCGTATAATGACTGTTTACGCAGGTATACATTACTAACGACTGTCCGTATAATGACTGTTTACGCAGGTATACATTACTAACGACTGTCCGTATAACGCCTGTTTACGCTGGTATACATTACTAACGACTGTACGTATAACGACTGTTTACGCTGGTATACATTTCTAACGACTGTCCGTATAACGACTGTTTACACTGGTATTCATTCCTAACGACTGTCCGTATAACGACTGTTTACACTGGTATTCATTCCTAACGACTGTCCGTATAACGACTGTCCGTATACATTACTAGCGACTGTTCGTATAGCGACTGTTTGCGCTGGTATACATTGCTAACGACTGTCCGTATAACGACTGTTTGCGCTGGTATACATTACTAACGACTGTCCGTATGACGACTGTTTACGCTGGTATACATTACTAGCGACTGTTCGTATAGCGACTGTTTGCGCTGGTATACATTGCTAACGACTGTCCGTATAACGATTGTTTACGCTGGTATACATTACTAACGACTGTCCATATAACGACTGTTAACGCTGGTATACATTACTAACGACTGTCCATATAACGACTGTTAACGCTGGTATACATTACTAACGACTGTCCTTATAACGACTGTTTACGCTGGTATACATTGCCACTGTCCGTATAACGACTGTTTGCGCTGGTATACTTGCTAACGACTGTCCGTATAACGACTGTTTGCACTGGTATACATTGCTAACGACTGTCCGTATAACGACTGTTTACTCAGGTATACATTACTAACGACTGTCCGTATAACAACTTTTTACGCTGGTATACATTGCTAACGACTGTACTGTCCGTATAACGACTGTTTACGCTGGTATACATCGCTAACGACTGTCCGTATAACGACTGTTTGCGCTGGTATACATTGCTAACGACTGTCCATATAACGACTGTGGCCGCTGATACACAACTGTCCGTATAACGACTGTTTACGCTGGTTTACATTACTAACGACTGTCCGTATAACGATTGTTTACGCAGGTTTACATTACTAACGACTGTCCGTATAACGACTGTCCGTATAGAATGTTTACGCCGGTATACATTACTAACGACTGTCCGTATAATGACTGTTTACGCTGGTATACATTACTAACGACTGTCCTCCCCATTGTGATTGGTATACCTTGCTAACGACTGTCCGTATAACGACTGTTTCCGCTGGTATACATTACTAACGACTGTCCGTATAATGACTGTTTACGCAGGTATACATTACTAACGACTGTCCGTATAATGACTGTTTACGCTGGTATACATTACTAACGACTGTACGTATAACGACTGTTTACGCTGGTATACATAACTAAGGACGATCTGTCCGTATAACGACTGTTTACGCTGGTATACATCGCTAACGACTGTCCGTATAACGCCTGTTTACGCTGGTATACATTACTAACGACTGTCCATATAACGACTGTTTACGATGGTATACATTTCTAACGACTGTCCGTATAACGACTGTTTACACTTGTATACATTACTAACGACTGTCCATATAACGACTGTTTACGATGGTATACATTTCTAACGACTGTCCGTATAACGACTGTTTATGCTGGTATACATTACTAGCGACTGTTCGTATAGCGACTGTTTGCGCTGGTATACATTGCTAACGACTGTCCGAATAACGATTGTTTACGCTGGTATACATTACTAACGACTGTCCATATAACGACTGTTTACGATGGTATACATTTCTAACGACTGTCCGTATAACGACTGTTTAGTCTGGTATACATTACAAACGACTGTCCGTATAACAACTGTTTACGCTGGTATACATTACTAACGACTGTCCGTATAACGACTGTTTACGTTGGTATACATTACTAGCGACTGTTCGTATAACGACTGTTTGCGCTGGTATACATTGCTAACGACTGTCCGTATAACGACTGTTTACGCTGGTATACATAACTAACGACGATCCGTATAACGACTGTTTACGCTGGTATACATTGCTAACGACTGTCCGTATAACGACTGTTTACGCTGGTATACATTACTAACGACTGTCCGTATAACGACTGTTTACGCTGGTATACATTACTAACGACTGTCCGTATAACGACTGTTTACGCTGGTATACATTACTAACGACTGTCCGTATAACGACTGTTTACGCTGGTATACATTACTAACGACTGTCCGTATAACGACTGTTTACGCTGGTATACATTACTAACGACTGTCCGTATAACGACTGTTTACGCTGGTATACATTACTAACGACTGTCCGTATAACGACTGTTTACGCTGGTATACATTACTAACGACTGTCCGTATAACGACTGTTTACGCTGGTATACATTACTAACGACTGTCCGTATAACGACTGTTTACGCTGGTATACATTACTAACGACTGTCCGTATAACGACTGTTTACGCCGGTATACATTACTAACGACTGTCCGTATAACGACTGTTTACGCTGGTATACATTACTAACGACTGTCCGTATAACGACTGTCCGTATAACGACTGTCCGTATAACGACTGTTTACGCTGGTATTCATTACTAACGACTGTCCGTATAACGACTGTCCGTATAACGACTAATTACGCCGGTATACATTACTAACGACTGTCCGTATAACGACTGTCCGTATAACGACTAATTACGCCGGTATACATTACTAACGACTGTCCATATAACGACTGTTTACGCTGGTATACATTGCTAACGACTGTCCGTATAACGACTGTTTGCGCTGGTAAACATTGCTAACGACTGTCCGTATAACGACAGTTTACGCTGGTATACATTGCTAACGACTGTCCGGATAACGACTGTTTACGCTGGTATACATTACTAGCGACTGTCCGTATAACGACTGTTTGCGCTGGTAAACATTGCTAACGACTGTCCGTATAACGACAGTTTACGCTGGTATACATTGCTAACGACTGTCCGTATAACGCCTGTTTCCGCTGGTATACATTGCTAACGACTGTCCGTATAACGACTGTTTCCGCTGGTATACATTGCTAACGACTGTCCATATAACGACTGTGTCCGCTGATACACATTGCTAACGACTGTTCATATAACGACTGTTTCCGCTGATATACATTGCTTACGACTGTCCGTATTACGACTGTTTACGCTGGTATACATTGCTAACGACTGTCCGTATAACGACTGTTTACGATTACTAGAGCTTTATGAAACACAATGCTTGGTTTTACGTGGTTTTGCCTACGACATCAAGAATCAATACATTGGTATTGGGTGTCGTTCAGCCACGCCCGAGATTAATCCAATGGTGTACAAAAGAAGTACGTATTTATTACATATATCTTTACATGTCCATATGATACGGTAGAATATGGCGTATTATGAAAATAATTTCATGGACTTTCGTGAAGAGCAATAAAGCACATTTTGGTATTCATGAATCCACGGTTCGAAGGTTGCCCAATATATATACATGTACATTTTTTGTATATTGAATTATTTCAAATGCGGATTGTCGCGAGTCGGTAAGGGCAAAACTCAGATGTTTCCGGTGGCAATTTCGGAGGAATCGGGTATCAATTTGCAAGAACATGTATAACGGCTAACCATACACAAGTAATTATATGTAACTAATTGTATACATAAAATCACAGAGCTTAATGCTTATGACGTCACAGTTTGATGCCGAGCGCAGTGATGGCGTTGATAATGACAGTATCTTGCATAATACTTGTTTAACTTGTGTAATACATTTTCATACCTGAGCCATTTCTCGATTAATTGACTATACAACACTTTCATCTTTGAAACCCAAGGCTTCCGCTCTCTATTAACCTGAATATCTAGAGCAGAACCTTTTGATTTCGATTATTTCCTTTACCGAGTAAAATAAAAAACAATCCCCAAAAAATCTTTAATGCTGTTTTGGACAGAATTTCACCATCGTCATTGACTTTTCTGAATTGACAGTTAGAATGAAAACTTCATTATTTAAAACTTTTAGTGATGATCATTTTGATCGACTTGATGTTGACAACATGCTTTAAAAAAAGAAACTGTTTTTTACTGGTTTAAGGTTGGCTTGACTAAATTTTACTCAAATATAAATAATGAATTTCTTGCACAAAAACAATAAGGAAACATTTCGTGAGCGTACTTTTGAATATTTTGACTGTTTTACCGTTATGAACGATAGACGTAGTTTTAAAGAGTTGATTTTAAAATCTGGGAGATCTTCCTACCTGATGCCTGGGTCTGCCGACTATGGAAGGAAACACAGAGCGAGGGGCGTCGTCCCCAGCAAACCCGGCCTTACACATGCCCGACCCATTGTCCAGTACCACAGCACTCAAGTCTTCGATCTTTGAAGCCATCACTGGTCAGTAACTGGTCAGTATCCCTGGTCAGTATTACTGGTTAAGCTTATAGGGTCGTTTAAAACACTCTTTCTTTTTGGAAACCAACTGTTTGATTACTTTGTGTGGCGACAATGATAGGTGATCAACGACGTGGTGTATGGTGGGATAAAGGCGACACACGTTGTCCTCTGTGTCTAGCTCTGCTAAGCAATGCCACACATACACAGGTGTCAGCCACAGTACCAGCATCCCTGGAGTCTCTACCTGGGTACGGGTTGCCATGGTTATTGGAATACCCCGCCTAGGTAATAAAAGATGTTTGTGGAATAACAATTATATGCCTATACGTGGCTTATCGGGTTCCTGGAATTGACAATAAATTTGTTCTCATAATTCGAAAATTACCTCGATTTAACACAGGCGCCAGACACATTGTTACGATAGTCACAGAGAATAGAATTTACTTATATTGTCTCCATTATGGTCATCGATAGTTACTGTGTTTCTGATCCCTGTGCGGTATAAAGACTTTGCTATCATGCTTTTTTGGTAATGTTCATACCTATGTAATTATAAATGCGCAGATAAAATTGGATTGAATTATAATTTCGAAACAGTACATTTAGAAGTGTAATTAATTGGTCATCGATTGATAAATAATTTACTGGAACAATCTCCGATATAATGATTCTAAAGTGACCCACTGTCTATATCGACATCAAGTAGTTCCACACCCGGTCGCTACCCACAGGTACATATCATATAAAGTGAAACCTCGATAATCCGACCGGATTGCGAAATTGCTAGATTTGTACACGTACGGAAAGAAGGTCCATCCGTTCTTTAAAAGTGACAAGATAGCGGGATAACAGATTCATGATTACAGGGCGACAAGGGTGTCTTCAATGATCGAAACTCGACTGTATTTGGGAATCAACTTTTAGTTATACTAATTCTTTGTCATGTTTTGAAAATCGCATGGTTGAAGAATATGAATATTTCTTTTGTATAGTAGATCTGTATGAAGGTGTTTTTATATTCGGTGCCATAATTTTGTTTGTATATATTTTTTTAGTTTATTGCAGTTGTTACTGGTTCAAATTTAACCAAAAATATTTAGTTAAGCACGAAAACTAGCTGAATCCTGAGGGTCAAATTCTATATTTTGTGATCAGAATAAACAAGCAAACAAAAATGCTTTAATTTAAAGCTAGTCTTTCAGTTCGATCTGGCTTGTTTAGTAGGGCGCAGTTGCCGGCCTCAATTTTAGCAAGAAATGTCTCTCATTTGTCAGCCTCGAGATAACGAATGTTATTGATATCCGTGCTTATTTTTATCATACTGTTGACACATTTGAACTTTCGACGAAACTGAATACTTTGACTCGCCAAATTGTCTCGTGTGTGGTGTTTTTAGGCAGACTGCTAATTCTATGTACCGGAAGGAGAGGATACCAGCCAGCGCCACTACTGAGTATGTTTCCGGATCTCCTGCCCGATACCGGGTTCTAGATCATATCAGTTTAGTCTGTTTCATCGTTTTTCCGGTTGGGCCACCAGTAAAGCCGTGTGTCAGCAAAAGTGTGTTTGTGGTTTTTGTCTCTTACTGGCGTGGTGGCAGCGGTATATATGAACTCACATCTTCCAACAAACGTATGAAGAAACGAATCGTCCACGCACAATAAGGTACAAACTAAAACCGCATCGTAGTGTCATTTCTACTGTGGAACGCACTTGAAACAAAAATGGTTAACACGCACAGGGCGCCGAAACAATGGTGCCTTACAAAAAATGAAACAGTCAATTCTTTTGAAAATTGGAGACAAAATCTCATGTATACCCTTTCTTTAGATCAAAACTTTGCCCCGTTTCTAGTTGATGGCGTACAATGGCAGAAGAAAACGAGAACAACACAGCACAGGGGTTTTGTGGATGATGGCGAACCTGTACCCGAAGGAAGGCGGCGGACACGTGATCAAAAAGTGGGAATGTTGGAATTAATGTTAGGACAGATTGCTAACTATGCCCCCATAATTTCTAGAAATACTATTGTGAAAAATTCCACGTCAGTTGAATTTCTTTGGCAGCAGATTCGTCTTCATTATGGGTTTCAGTCAACAGGGGCCCATCTAATCGACTTTTGCTCCATTAAATTAGAACCTACGGAGAGACCGGAGGACTTATACCAAAGGCTGATGGCGTTCACAGAGGACAACCTGTTACACAGAGATTCAGGCATCACCCATCATGGGGAGCGAATTGATGAAGATGAAGAACTTTCACCGTCTCTGGAAAATTTTGTTGTATTAACCTGGTTAAGGCTCATTCACAGTGACCTTCCTAAACTCGTGAAGCAGCGTTACGGCACAGAATTACGATCACGCACGCTCGCGTCAATAAAGCCGGAAATATCGCAAGCTCTCGACTCGCTACGAGAAGAACTTCAAACAACTGAGGATGCTAAAGCTATGCGAGCCGCTGCATCGTTTCGTCCCAAACAGTCGAAACCATTTAGAAAGAGCTGGAAGTCCTGTCCGTTATGTAAAGCTGAAGGAAGGGCAAGTGACCATTTTTTAAGTAAATGCAGCTTCCTCCCGGCACAGGACCAGAAGTTCTTTGCTAAAACACGACAGGTTGCAGGAATGTGTGACGAGGAGGTGGAGCCATATCCGGACAGTGAGGAGCCTCAACCCTCCGTCATTGCCAGGGCCAAAATACTACAGTCACCATATCTGGATGTGTTCCATGACCATAATACTGTGCGCCTTATCATTGATAGCGGTGCAACAGGAGACATGATACGTGCATCTTGCGCTACTGCCTTAGATTTGCGTGTGACAACTACAACCCAGTCTGCGCACCAGGCAGATGGGTCTTCTCCGCTAAACGTGTTGGGCGAAACGCGGTCAACATTCTCTCGTGATGGGCATGAGCTTTATTTTGAGGGACTGGTCGTCGAGAATCTAGACTCTGATATTCTAGCAGGTATTCCATTTATGGAAGCGAACGATGTCCTCATCCGTCCTGCCAAAAGACAGGTTATTCTGGGAGGTAATTCGTTATACTGTTCTCCACCCTCCCCAATGGACAGACATGCTGTGCGACAAGTGTTACGCGCCCCGTCTTGCCCAACTGTCTGGCCAGGAGAGTACTTGGAAGTAGAACTCCCTGAGGAGCTTGGTACAAAGGTGGCGGTGGAACCACATGCGTCAATCAACAATACTAAATCCAACTGGCCTCAACCTTCCATCATATCTAGTATCTCTGGCAAGATCCGCATTCCTAATCTCACAGGAGAACCTCAACTGGTGAAGAAGAATGAACACTTCTGCATTGCCCGTAGTACATTCCTTCCCGACAACTCAGCCTCGGGCGACGCTCCTGTGTCACCCAAAATATCCAAATGTCCAAGAACAGCTCATCACTCTGATCTTGTCAACCTTGATCCTGACAACATCATGCCATGTGACATGAAGGCCAAATTTAAAACTGTTCTTAAAGAGTTTGATGAGGTTTTCAACCCGATATTTGCTGGGTACAATGGTGCAGTAGGCCCCTTCCAGGCGCATGTAAATATGGGGCCCGTTCAGCCCCCCCAGAGAAAGGGGAGGGTACCCCAGTACTCCCGAAACCAACTGGGTGAGCTTCAACAGAAATTCGACGAGCTAGAGGGTATAGGTGTATTTAAACGACCAGAAGACGTAAACATCGCTGTTGAGTATGTGAACCCATCATTCTTGATTAAGAAGCCAAATGGGGGTTTCCGTCTGGTTATCGCCTTTGCAGATGTCGGTCGCTATGCCAAACCGCAGCCATCCCTTATGCCAGACGTGGACTCCACCCTCCGCCAGATTGCGCAATGGAAATACATCATCGCCACAGACCTTACAAAGGCATTTTACCAGATTCCGTTGTCGCGGGATTCAATGAAGTACTGTGGGGTAGCCACACCATTCAAGGGCGTCCGAGTCTACGCAAGATGTGCTATGGGAATGCCTGGTTCTGAAACCGCCCTTGAAGAGCTAACATGCCGAGTACTTGGTGGTCTTGTGGAAAAGGGGGTGTATCGCGAAAATGGCAGATGACCTTTATTGTGGTGGTAACACCCTGGGGGAGCTATTAAACAACTGGACAGATGTGTTGAGAGCACTAAGTCAAAGTGGCTTGAGCCTCTCTGCAACAAAGACCGTGATAGCTCCCAAGCAAACTTCAATATTGGGATGGATATGGTGCCTTGGAACAATCCGTGCGAGCCCCCATCGGATATCTACCCTATCCACATGCCCAAAGCCTTCAAATGTTTCTGGTCTCCGATCTTTTATCGGCGCCTACAAAGTGTTGGCAAGAGTTATGAAGGACTGCTCGATTCTTATTTCACCCCTCGATAATGCAGTAGCAGGACACGAGTCAAAGGACAGTATTGCGTGGTCAGATGAATTGATCTGTGCTTTCGACAAAGCACAAAAAGCACTGTTATCCAACCGTACTATCACACTGCCTCGACCCCAGGACCAGCTCTGGATCGTGACTGATGGTGCAGTAAAGAATCCTGGTCTAGGAGCTACTCTCTATGTCACACGTGAGGGAAAAACTGAGCTTGGCGGGTTCTTCAGTGCCAAATTGCGGAAGAACCAAACTCGGTGGCTTCCATGCGAGATAGAAGCGCTCTCTATTGCAGCTGCGATCAAACATTTTTCACCATATATAATTCAGTCTGCCCTCAATACTTGTATCCTTACCGACAGTAAGCCATGCGTTCAAGCCTTCGAAAAGCTTTGTCGAGGGGAGTTCTCCGCTAGTCCACGTGTAACTACGTTCTTGTCGACTGCCAGCCGATTCCAAGTTTCAATTCGACACGTGGCTGGCTCCTCTATTCTTCCATCTGACTTTGCCAGCCGTAATGCCCCCTCTTGTGAAGACCCAACATGTCAGGTATGTACTTTTGTGAGTTTAAAGACGGATTCTGTTGTGCGCAGCATCTGTTCTGATGAGATCCTTAACGGAACTGCTCAAATGCCCTTCCTCAGTCGGTCAGCCTGGCTTGGTATTCAATCGGAGTGTGGCGACTTGCGCCGCACTTGTGCCCATCTCAAACAAGGCACTCGTCCATCGAAGAAGCAGACAACTGTTAAGGACGTCAAACGATATCTCAATGTTGCTTCCCTC